TCTATTTCTGTCCAGGAGTGAAGAGCACAAGTAGCAAGCCACCTGCTCCACTCCCACCACCCAAGAGAGTGCAGAGCAAGAGAGAGCTCTCACACAGCTTTTAAACTGCCACATAGGCTGCCCCAAATGTCATTGACTAAATGGACTGAAATCTCACAACATTAGGGTTTGAATATTATTAGACAACTGAAAAACTGGGATGTTGGTAGTAGAGTGCTTGCTTAGGTACTTTGAATTTGATTTCTAAGAACAAAAAGAATTTAAACAACTGAAATGTTTGAAACATCCAGGTAGTGATGGCACAGCACAAAGGAGGCAGAGACAGGTGGATCTCTGAGTTCGAGACCCACCTGGTCTACAGAGTGAGTTCCAGGACAGCCTCCAAAGCTACACAGAGAAACCCTGTCTTGAAAAACAAAACAACACAAAAAAACCAACTGTTTGAAATGTTTAAAGAGAATCTAAACTATATAGGCATTTAGTTAATGTTCTTTTGATTTAGAAACAGGTCTATGTAGTCCAGGTATGACATTAAATTTCTAGTCCTCCTTCCTCCATCTCCTGAGCGATGGGACTATAGGTATGCACCACCACAGGCAGTTTATGCAGTGACTATAGAACCCAGAGCTTCCTGAATGTTGAGCAAGCACTGTATTGACTGAACCATTCCCTAACTGGTATTTAAAAACAAAATAAAAAAGGTTCTATTACATTTATTCATTCATTCATTCATTCATTCTGCATATATTTGTACATATGTATATGTGTGTGTATTCACTTGCCACAGTACACCCATGTGTAGGTCAGAGGACAACTAACTTGCAAAACTTGGTTTCCTTCTTCTACCATGTGGGTTCCAGGGATCAGACTTAAGTCATCATGCTTATTGGCAAGTGTCTTTACCCACTAACTCATTTCACCAGCCCTCCAGTTAGTTTTCTTTTTTTTATTATTATTTTATGTGTGTGGGTATTTCACCTGGATATATGGCTATACACCACATACTGAAGTACTGGTGGAGGCCTGAAGAGAGCATCAATCTCCTGGAACTGAAGTGTAATAGACAGTTGTGAGCCTCCATGTGGGTGCTAGAAGTCAAGCCAGGGTCCTCTAGAAGTGTGTCCAGTGCTCTTAACCACTAAACCATTTCTCCACATCCCCTGTTTCTTAGTTAGGGTCCTATTGCTGCAATGAAATACCATGACCAAAAAAGCAAGTTGGGGAGGAAAGGGTTTATTTGGCTTACATTTCCACAGCATGTTCACCATAAAAGGAAGTCAGGACAGGTGCTCAAACAGGGCAGGAACCTCTAGGCAGGAGCTGATGCAGAGGCCATGGAGGATGCTGCTTACTGGCTTGTTGCCCATGACTTGTTCAGCCTGCTTTCTTTTGGGTGGGTGGGGGGTCTAGACAGGGTTTCTCTGGAGCTTTCGAGCCTGTCCTGGCACTCACTCTGTAGACCAGGTGGGCCTCAAACTCAGAGATCCACCTGTCTCTGCTTCCCAAGTGCTGGGATTAAAGGCATGCGCCATCACCACCCAGCCATCCTGCTGTCTCATAGAACCCAGGCCACCAGCCCAGGGATGGCACCACCCACAGTGTGCTGGGCCCTCCCTCATTGATCACTAATTGAGAAAATGCTTTACAGCTGGATTTCATGGAAGCATCAACTGAGGCTCCTTCCTCTCTGATGACTCTAGTTCGTGTCAGGTTGACACACAAAACCAGTCATATCCTGCCAGTCATTATTTTTAATATACATCATTTCAGAAGGGAATGGAGCAGGATGAAGTGACATATTTATGAATTTCTCAGCAGATGAGTAGATAAATCAGAAGGATGACCATGAGTCTGGGGCTAGTTTAGATTTCATAGTGAGTTCCATGTCCTGAGCTACCCAGTGAAAAAGAAAGAATGGAATAACTTTACATTCCACTAAGACATTAGGTTTCGGGGGCTGGAGAGATGGCTCAGAGGTTAAGAGCACTGGTCCTCTTCCAGAGGACCTGAGGAGTTCAATTGCCAGCAACTACATGGTGGCCCATAACCATCCGTTATGAGATCTGGTGCCCTCTTCTGGTGTGCAGATATACATGGAAGCAGAATGTTGTATACATAATAAATAAAATCTTTTTTAAAAAAGACATTAGGTTTCTTTCATTTCTCCATTTCTTAAGATTTATATGGCAAAGTGGTGGTTCACACCCTTAAGGGAGACACCCTGTCTCCAAAAACCAAAAAGAAAAATGTTAATATGTGTGGATGTTTTGCCTCCATGTATTTATATTCACTGCATGCATGCCTAGTGTTCTGGAAGTCAGAAGAGGGTGTTGAATTCCCTGGGACAGAAGTTATAGATGGTTATGAGCCATCTGGATGCTGGGAACAGAAGTACTCTAAACCACTGAACATCTCTCTAGCCTCCCAAAGATTTATTTTTTTGTAAAACGTATATGTATGTATGTATGTATGTTTGGCCAGGAGTAGTGGTCCACACCTTTGATCCCAACACTCAGGAAGCAGAAGAAGAACTCGAGTTCAAGGCCAGGCCAGTTTACATAGTGAGTCTCAGGCCAGCCTGGTCTATATAACAAGTTCCATGCCAGTCAGGGCTATATAGTATATCCTGTTTCAAAAAAAAATGGCTGGACATGGTAGCACATGCCTTTAATTCCAGTACACAGGAGGCAGAGGCAGGTGGATCTCTGTGAGTTCAAAGTCAGCCTAGTCCACATTATGAATTCCAGGACAGCCATAACTACGTAGAGAGAACCTGCCTCAAAACAAAAAAGGATGTTTATGTGTTTGTGTCTCTGCATGGATAAATGCACCTATTGTGATTAAAATCTTTATTCCCTTTTCATTTCTCCAATTTTTTTTACTATTTCAATGATACAATGTTTTTCCTTCTATCTACAACAACTCAAGTGAATATATTACCTTTTGTGAGTATATACTTTTAGCAGTTACTCATGAGTAACTTGTATGCCAATAACGTACTCTACTTTAAAAATATCCTATTTTAGTAGAAAATACCTATGTTGAGCTGTAGTTAGTAGAATGCTTGCTTAGCATGCATGGAGCACTGTGTTAGACCTTCAGCACCACATCAAACGGTATGTAGGAGCATAACCCTATGATCCCAACACTGAGTATATGATGAGAGACAAGAAGTTCAAACCAACTCTGCTATATAGTGTCTAGGAAGCAACTCTGGGCCACATGAGACTGTTGTAAAAACAAGAAAGAACAAGATAATGGTGGCACCTGTAATCCCAGCACTTGGGAAGCAGAGGCAGGCAGAGCTCTGAGTTCGAGGCCAGCCTGTTCTTCAGAGAGAGTTCCAGGACAGCAGGGCTACACAAAGAAAACCTGTCTCAAAAAAGGGGTAGGGCTGGAGAGATGGCTCAGCGGTTAAGAGTACTGAATGCTCTTCCAGAGGTCCCAGGTTCAATTCCTAGTACCCTAATGGCAGTCCACAGCTGTCTGTAACTTCTGTTCCAGGTATCTGATGCCTTCATACAGACATACCTGCAGGCAAAAACACACCAATGCTCATAAAGTAAAAATACATAAATTATAAAAAAAGAAATTAAAACTAGAAAGTCTCTAAATAGTTGTGTTCTTTTGACAGGTCCTTCATTTCTCGGAATCTTCTAGTGAAGAATCATCGACAAAAAGAAAGAGAGTTAGTGAACCAAAGGAACATACCTAAAAATTCTTTTTCTTATGCATATTTGCAATTCTCAACATTCATACTAAAAGATGCTGTATTATTATTTGAAAGTGTGCTTTCTGTACCTCTGAAAATTATTTTGTGGTTGACACAGTTATTACACTAATGAAAGTTTTAGCTATTATATTGTGTCTACCTGACCTATCCAAGGGAACTTTTAACTAAACCAAAGTACAAATGTCATCATTGATTTTGCTCATTATTCACTGAATCTGCCTTTCATTTTAAAGAAAGCTTTTTAAAAATATGTATTAACTTTTAAGGCTCTGCATTTCTGAAATGTTTATTCTGGCATTTAAATTTTGTAAGGATTCTCTTTTTACTTATGTTAAAGCTGTAGCATTTAATTGGTGTTATTAAAATTATGTTTGATATTTTGATATAGTGTTATTAGCATGATATATAACATTCAATGTATATTTAGGGCAAAAAGATGACTGAAAGCAATGGCTAATAAAAGACTGGCATTTTACTAGCATGATTAAGATACTCGGTGTTCAGGCTCTTTCATGGCTTCTAGTTTTTAATTAGCAGAAAGAAAGTGTTCAGCTATTAATTTTGATAGGATTTAGGTAAGTATTATCTTGCAAGAGTTGAACACACTTAGAACTTCTGACGAGAGACCTGAGACCTAGTCCCAGCCTTGCCATTTATTTCCTTTGCTTCAGAAAAGGCAAACCTAAAACTTGATCGGTTTGTGTCTTGTAGTTTCAGCAGCCATATTCCAAAACGTCCAGTAGCCACAGGATTATCAAAGTGTTCCATAGGGATGTTATGTGTGTGGTGGTAGGAATGTGCCCATGCTGTTCAGTGTAAACCCGGTAACGTCCACAAACTGAGTCAGATCAGGTTTTTCTAGAGTCCAGATATCAAGCGGGGTGGGGTGGGAGGGGAGGTGTTATTTACTCTTAGCCTTATTGCTTGAATGCCAACATTTCTTACCCATTCGTGCCAATACAAAAAGCTACAAAACACACCTGCTACACTGAAATTGGCCAACAGAGTCTTTCGTGATTGGCAGCATTTGTTGTCTCACGGGATACTTTGATTGGGTAGTTTCGTTGGGGTGGGGCGCAGCCTTTTCCTGGCCTCCACGGAGGTTCCTTCATTGGATTGACCAGCTGTCAGGTTGAACGCAAACCTGCCTCCTTTTGGTGATGTTTGTCTGGATCGCAACACAATAGCCGGGAGGGCCTCCCCTCGTAAGCTCCGATTGGTTAGACTCAACCTTGGGGGGTTCTGATTGGCCCACTGAAGAAACACCAAGGTAGGTTGCCTAGTGATCCTGTGGAAGCTGATGTGTTATTCCCTCTCTGCATCGAAGGATCAGGAAGTTTGTGCTCTCTGCGTAGCTGAGAAGTTTTTCACCTACTAGTACCGGGCTGGGGTAAGGGAAACAGGTGCCCTTCAAAAATAGAGTGCGAACTGCAGCCTGCGTCCTACTGCAGCCCCGGAACAACGTCAGGTAAGGAACAGAAAATAACACTTCTTAACGTCCAACAGAACTGCTCAATGTTTTACTTTAGTGGTTTTTACTTATCTATTGTTGGTCTTCATGTCTTCAGATAAGGTGTTTTAACTAATAAGTGTCCTCAAAGAAAATTGCCTCCATTCCCCTCGAGGGTGTAAAGTTTCTTGGATTGGGTTTGGAAATAACCCCGACTCAATGCCAAGTAGAATTAGTACCCTAAGGCATTGTAACGTGTTCTGCTCTTTCTTCGCTTTTCTTACTTCCCACAAAAAAATTATATTTGAAATATATCCTTGTATGAATTATTTGTAAGACACTTGGTGTGTATTTCTATTTTTAATGTTCACATGCTTTCCTGAATATCCATTTTAATGAGTATATATTTATTGAGCAATTACAATGTTAAAGACACTGTGCTAGTTGCTATGGAGAACATAAAAACTCAAGATGACAGTATTCCAGTCCTCAAAAAGTTTAACGTACAGCCATAACAAAATAGGGACTATAGTGAATATTTAAAGGGAGTAAGTATAAATAAAATTCTGTTAAAGTATAGCTGAAAGAAACCAATTCTAATCATGGGACATATGCATAATGTAGAGATAGGAATTCACCTTAAGGCTTCACAGTCTTTGGTAGGCCTTCAACGACTGGGCAACATTTAGGGAGGAAAGTGAAAGGGAGAGAACCCCAGAATAACAAAGATCAGAGGCAGAAAGAAAACAAGACATGTTTGATAAAATTGTTGCACGTTTTTAATACCAGCACTCGGGAAGCAGAGGCAGGAGGATCTCTATAAGTTCAAGGCCAGCCTGGTCTACCGATCAAGTTCCAGGACAGGCTCCAAAACAATACAGAGAAAAAAAAAAAAAAAAAAAAAAAAAAAAAAAAAAAAAAAAAAAATTGTTGCAAGGTAGAACTAGACGAAGCCATAGCACCTTTTATATACTACTCTTTTGATCTCAAGAATATATAATTGCTGATACTAAGTGCTTGTTTTTAAAGATAGAAATTGGCATTTACATTTGTGTAAAATGTGCTAACTTTAAGCTTTATCACAGGTGATTTAGAGTGTAATGCTGAATAAAAAAGGGTGTATGCTCTGATTTTTTCCCCCATTGCTGGGAATGGCACTTAGGCCCTTGTACATACTAACACAAACTGTAACACTGAGTCACATTCCAACCCCGTTTTCTTTTGAGAATTTAATAATCTTTTAACAGTCTTGTTGGGGTTTTTGTTGTTGTTGTTGTTGTTACAGCTTTTTGTGTATTCACAAGATAGCCAGCTAGAACAAGAATGCTAAGTTACTATACTTGATATTCACTTAAGTGTTATACTCTGGTGCTTTCCAAAATGAATGCATGAAATGAGTTGTTATGATAGAAAAAGAGAAAACACTGGGCTGAAAAATACTGGCTCAGTGTTAAGAGCACTTGTTCTTACAAAGGACCCAGGTTTGATTCCCAGCATCCCACCATGGAGGTTTACCACTTCCTCACACACCAGGCATGCATGCAGTACACAGACATGCATGCACGCAAAAAACTCATATATACAAAATAAAATACATCTTTTAAAAAAGAAGGAAAATGTTAAAACATGGGCATGGAGAGATGGCTAAGTGAGTAAAGGCAATTGCTACACAAGCCAAGCAACCTGAGTTCAATCCCCAGAACTCACATAAAGGTAGGATAGAGGGCCCCAAAAAGTTGTTCTCTGCTGGACAGTGGTGGCGCACGCCTTTAGTCCCAGCACTCGGGAGGCAGATGCAGGCAGATCTCTGTGAATTGGAGACCAGCCTGGTCTACAAGAGCTAGTTCCAGGACAGCCTCCAAAGCCACAGGGAAACCCTGTCTCAAAAAAACAAAAAATACAAAACAAAACAAAAAGCTGTCCTCTGACCTTCACATGTGCACACGTCATAAGAACCCACAAATATTATACAAACACAATAATTTAAAATATTAAAATGTGTTCTTGTCATGTATAATTTTTGTTTCATAATGTGCTATTAACTATAGAAATTATAAATTGTCTGTACTCGGGCACATGCTCGTGAAGTTTTGCTATTCCATCTTACTTAACTTGGGGACCCATTTTAAGAAAGAGAAGTAACAGTGGTAGAAATTCACTCCTGGGTTGTAGGTGAAATAAGCACACTAAAAAGATGATCATTTCTAATGAACTTTTAAATTACTGATCACTTTTCATTGCTTTCTGTAATTTAAGCTGTTATGCTTTGAAAAAGAGAGCATGTTATCCAGTGTTTCTATTTACTACTTTCTGTATTTGTGCTTATACATTTTCCTGTGTATAGAGTGTCTGTGTGTGTGTGTGTGTGTGTGTGTGTGTGTGTGTGTGTGTGTGTGTGTGTATAGGTCTTCTGTGGACTTATATTTACTTACTAAAACACACACATATTTTTCACATCTCTCCATAAACAGGTGAGAATGACCACATTAACTCACCGTACCCGTCGAACTGAAGTCAGTAAGAGCTCTGAAAAGAAAGTAGAAAGTGAGGAAGACACTAATCAAGAAAGGAGTCCAGATAATGAAGACCCTGGAGACTCTAAGGATATCCGACTCACTCTTATGGAAGAAGTATTGCTCCTGGGACTAAAAGATAAAGAGGTAATGATATTATGTTTGCTAAGTTTAGCTTGAAGACACAAATCTTAGAATGTTTTAGGAAGTAAACTACAGCCACATTGGAGTTGGAGGAACATGGGAAAGAGAATATCTGCAAGGTAAAATCCAGAAATATAAGTTTTTGATTTTTGTTTTGTTTTTTGAGACAGGGTTTCTCTGTGGCTTTGGAGGCTGTCCTAGAAATAGCTCTTTAGACCAGGCTGGTCTTGAACTCGCAGAGATCCGCCTGCCTCTGCCTCCCGAGTGCTGGGACAAAAGGCGTGAGCCACCTCCGCCCGGCTGAAATATAAGTATTTTAAGTATAATTTAATTGCAAAATTATGGAGGACAAAGATGGATTAGCATAGTGTTAGTACTTGTAGCTTCCCAGCTCAGTTTGATGGTGGAGTAATGATCTCTTACTAAAGTAAGAAAGAGGCCCATTCAGTCAAGTCTTCTTGAGCCTGGAAGAAAAAGTCTTTTGTTGTTGTTTTGTTTTGTTTTCTGAGACAGGGTTTCTCTGTGTAACTTTAGCTGTCCTGGAACTCTCTCGTAGGCCAAGTTGGCCTCCAACTAGAGATCCACCTGGCACTGTTCCCCAAGTGCTGGGATTAAAGGTGTACATTACTATTCTGTCTAGAAATCTTAAGAGACAAGAACAACAGCAGGTATGGTGGCACACACTTATGAGCCAACTATTCAGGATATAGGGGCAGGAGCATCTCCGTGAGTTCAAGGCTAACTTGATCTACCTAATGAGTTATAGGCTAATCAGGGCTATATAGCAAGACCCTATCTCAAAATTAAATAAGCAAATGCTAACAAATAACAAGGAATCTGTATATGGCTATCTGTTTACTAAAACAAATAATGACTGAGTTTCTTACAGTAGAAATAATATTTTTCAGCCCAGGATTTATGATATACATCTATAATTCCAGCACTAGGGAGTTGGGGCAGGAGGATCAGGAGTTCAAGGTTATCTTACACATATACTGAGTTCAAGACTAACCTGAAGTACTTGACAGTTTGAAACCCTGTCTCAAAAAAAAATCATAGGGGATCCAGGTGTGGTGGCGCATATCTTTAATCCCAGTACTCTGGAGGCAAAGGCAGGATGATGATCTTTGTGAGTTCGAGGCCATCCTGGTCTACAGAGTGAGTTCCAGGACAGGCTCCAAAGCAATACAGAGAAACCCTGTCTTGAAAAACCAAACCAAAGCAAAACAAACAAAAAAGTTTATTATCCCAACGCTTGGAAGGCTAAGCGTAGTTAGAAAGTTCAAGGCTACCCTATACTACATAGTGAAGCCAAGGCTGCCTGGATACTTCAAGACCCTGTCTCAAAAGCAAAACAATAATTTTTCTTTTCCTTTCTTTTTTGTTTTTTGTTTTTTTGTTTTGTTTTTGGAGACAGGGTTTCTCTGTGTAGCTTTGAAGTCTGTCCTGGAACTCTCCTGGCTTCATTTCTTTATTTCTGAATTTCTCCTTACTCAGAAAATTTAGGCCAGGTTATGTTATGGTTCTGGCATTCAGGAATCTTAAGGCAGTATAGTCAAGGATTCAGTGTCAGCGTGGGCTACATAGCAAGTTTGGGGACAGCCTGGATTACATGGTGATCCTGGTGAACAATTTTTTTTTTTTTTAAGTTTTTATTTGAATCTCATGTAACTTTGGCTGTCTAAAAAGACTCAACATGCACAAACTGGCCTTGATGATCCTCCTGTCTTCACCTCCAGAGTTCTGGGTTAAGGCATGTGCCACTGTGCCTGGTTTATGAATGCTGGTGATTGAACCCAGGGCTTCATACATGCTAGACCAGTACCTTATCAAATGAGTGACATTTTCCAGTCCAACAATTTTCTTTCATTGTTTTCTATTAGAAGCAGGGTTTTGCTATTTATTCTTAACTGTCCTGGAACTCACTAGCTAGACCAGACCCTCAAATCCACAGCAATCCTATTTCTATCTAGAGAGAACACTTACTTTATAGTAGAATTGGTCTTGAGATAGTTTCCTGAGTGCTGGGATTAAAGACGTGTGCCACCACCACCTGGCTAAGAGCTCTGATACCTATAAGAGTCCTGGCACTTGAGAGGCAGAGGCAGGCAGATCTCTGTGAGTTCAAGGCCAGCCTGACCTACAGATCTAGTTCCAAGACAGCCAAGGCTACTCAGAGGAACCCTGTCTTTAAACAAAGAAAAGAAAAAAAACATGTAAGAACTGAGCCTATTAATTTTTAACTTGGTGATAATTTATTTATTTATTTATTTGGTTTCTCAAAGCAGGGTTTCTCTGTGGCTTTGGAGGCTGTCCTGGAACTCGCTCTTGTAGACCAGGCTGGATAATTTTTTTTTTTTAATTTTCACAATTGTTTGTTTGAGTTGTGTGTATATTGTGTGTGTGTGGATATGTAAGCATGCCACAGTGTACATGTGGAGGTCAGAGAATAATTTTTGAAAGTTGGTTCTCTTATTCTCTGATAATAATTGTAGGTCTACAAAAGCTAGTTCTAGGATAGCCTCCAAAGCCACAGAGAAACCCTGTCTCCAAAAACTAAAAACAAAAAAAAAAAATTGTTTTTTAAATTTATCTAGAATGTGTGTGGTTGTCTCCTCCCACTATGTGGGTCCCATCGATGAAATCTAAGTTGTGAGGCTTCATGGCGAGCACCCTTACCTGCTGAGCCATCTCACCACCCCTTTTGGTGACAGTGTTTTAAATTTACCTTTTCAGAGTTAGGTGTAGTTGCTCACACCTATAATTTCAGCACTTGGAAGGCTAAGACAGGAAGATTATCCTAAATTCTTGGCCAGCCTAGGCTACATAGCAAGACCTTGTGTCAGTTAACCAAAGCATGGGCTAGGAATGCAGCTCAGTTAATAAAGTGCCTCCTTAGTATGCAGGAAGCCCTTGGTTTGACCCTAAGCACAGATATCCCAAAGCCCTCTAGAAGGGGAGTAAGGAAGATCAGAAATTTAGGGTTATCCTGGTCTCCAGAGTGAGTCTGAGATCAGCATAGGCTACATGAGAACATGTCTCAAAAAAATTTTTTTTAATGAAAATTTTTAAAAATTTGAAGGTCTAATTTAGGTCACTACTTGCGTTTTCCTTCTAGTTTCTTGATGATGCATAATGAACACTGAGTCTTTCAGCCATTAGCTCATTGTGAATAGTGCAAGTATATTCCTTTGCATTTGTGTGTGCACTTTATATGGGCTATTAAAAAAGAAGAACTTTGTCTTGTTCGTTATTATATCCAGCTTTACGCCCAAAGAAATGAGCCAGAGATCAAAGTCCTGTTTTGACAGCAGGAAAATAAAACTTTAGCTGCTTCCTTAGAACCTCTCCTGGTTCCTCCTAATTCTAAAATGCCCATTGTTCTAAAATATATGATACCAAAATTAAGATAAAGCCACCTACTACTTAAAATTGAGCCTTTGGCTATAACCACTGAGCCTATAAATTTACTGTGAGCCTTTTGTCTCCTTCATAGTTTGACTAGATTGAGCATTTTTTAAAACTTTGTACCTTTCCTTGCTTGATCTTGCAAGGCAGAGAAAATGTTCCCTTTATGGGAGTCAAAGCAAGATTAACTATCTGGTAGTTTATTGGTGGAGCTTACATTTAAATTTACCTTAAGGTTAACAGTGGAGCTTGAAAACAAATATCACACAAACACATCAAAGATTTATTTGTTTATTTATTTATTTATTTTGGTTTTTTGAGACAGGGTTTCTCTGTAGGTTTGGAGACTGTCCTGGAACTCTCTTTAAAGACCAGGCTGGCCTTGAACTCACAGAGATCCACCTTCCTCTGCCTCTGCCTCCCAAGTACTGGGATTAAAGGAGTGTGCCACCAATGCCCAGCTTGAAAGATTTATTTTTATGTGTATGAGTGTTTGTCTGCATTTATGTGTACTACATGTGTGCAGTACCTGCAGAGGCCAGAAGAAGGCACTGGATCCCCTGGAACTGGAGTTACAGATGATTAGCTGCCATATGGGTGCTGGAAGTCACAGAGATCAGCCTGCCTCTGCCTCCTGAGGGCTGGGATTAAAGATGAACACCACCACCACCTGGTGGTTTGGGGTTTTTTAAATGGTCTCACTGGTCTTGGAAATCACCATGTAGCCCAGGATGGCCTCCATTGTTTGGGGTAGTTGTTTTTGACACAGGGTGTCTTTTATTGTGGACTGGTGTTGATCTCTAGCCATGGATGACTGTGAGCTCCTGATGATTCTGCCTCCACTTCTCCATTGCTGCTGGGGTGACAGATGAGCACCACCACCATCCTCAGCTGGATGCCTGGTTTTAAATGATGCTTTACATTTTCTTTTCTTTCCTACCTCATTTCTATTTGCCACCCTCAGCTGCCAACTCTAAGATATTTAACATTTGTGGTTGTTTTAAGGTGTGTCTTCCAGGATGTTTGACTAAGGAAGGAAGGGCACTTTGAATACTTGACTAATTGGAATTCCATATAAAAGTGACTCTTTGTATATAATGAACGCTTATTGCTCAGGCTCTTTGACAGTAGCAAAATTATAATAAATATGTATAATCTTTAACTAAAATGTTTCTCTTAGGGGTTTATTTAGAAATATACTGGCAAAATGATATTAACTTTCTTTTCATCTTTTTTTTTTTTTAAGACAGTTTTTCATTTATACCAGGCTGGCCACAAAATCATAATGTAGATGACCTTAACTTTCTAGTCATTCTGCTTCTATTATCCCAGTGCTAGAATTACAGCAAGAACCACTATACCCAGTTTGTTTTTTGTTTTTTATGCTGGGACTCGAACTCATGCTAGACAAGCACACTACCAAGTAAGCTACATGCCTTGCCCTCCTTTTTCTTTTTTTGTTATAAATAAGCATATGTTAAGTTAGAAAAACTGGGGGCTGGAGAGATGTCTTAGTGGTTAAGAGCACTGACTACTCTTCCAGAGGACCAAGGTTCAATTCCCAGTTCCCACATGACAGCCCACAACTGTCTGTA